GAATATCATGACTACGGGACACAAATATAAATTTTGGCAAGGTAGGAGTTGGCTAAGACAGTTTTATTTTTCTAACAGGATGGTTTAGCCTTTGGAATGGACTGCCTTCAGATGTAGAGGCAATAAATTTAAGCAAGTTTAAGAGAAAGCTTGATAACTATATGAATGATAAGGGCTTGGTTTTAAGATTTTTATTTTAGTTTCTTTTTTTAATTTATTTATTTGATAGGTTTAGTTTAGAGGAGGGGACAGCTGAGATGGACCAACAGGTCCCTTGTTGTCCCAAAACATGATGCTATGGTTTTAGTACATCTTTATGGCATTTTACTAACACAAAGTTTAGTTTTCTGGTTATGTATATTTTTAATTTGTATCCTCAACATTTCTTATACTAGACCATTTATTTTTCATATTCACTAGGTGTATGTATTTTGTTTAATAATATCTAGCCTGCACGTTATTTTTCTTCTTGCTAACTACTTTAATTTAATGCATAATTTTATCACAAATTTACTGTGAATACTTAGTCAGTCTTTTCTAGCATATTTAATTAAGATTATATAATCGTTTTCTAATATATTTCAGTAGGTCAATTCATCCTTTCTAGTATATATATAATATAGCTCATTTCAAATAGTGTTAAAGCAGGGTGATTGAGCACTTGAAGACTGTACTGTAACAAAAATAAGAACATTAGAGATCTCTAATTTACTAAGTAAATTACTTAATTTCAACTGTAGGTGTGCTGCTTTTAACTACGTAATGTTCAAGAATGCCTTAAATTTTTTAGTGGGAGTATTGTTGGAAAGTTTTAAAGTAAAACCTCATCTCATACTGTTTAAATTTGATAATGGTTGTAATATTATTTTATTGTATACCTTGTAAAATTTTAGATTTAAATGATATAAGATAGTGTGCAAATTGTATTTATCTTGTATATCCTTTAAAGGTAAAAACTGATTTTATTTTCATGATTTCAAGTGCTGATATCTGGAAAAATGTTTTTTCCACAGACAGCATAATTTTTTTTGTTATAAACCATTTTTTAAATATTGAACCTTAGAACTTGATTTGTGAAGAAATGCCAGCCAGGTCTGATGGCCAGATGCCTATTAATATGGCTGTGAGAAATATAAATGTATCATAATTGTGCTGTAATAATTCAAAAGGAATATGGACTGAAATGTCATGATGTAACATATGCTCCAAAATCATAGGGTAATTACTGTTACAGGCTGGTTAAAATTTTAAAATTAGACTAATAGAAATTACTCAAGATTCAACAATACAAAAACGTTGAAACTGTTGCTTGGGGAGGGGGTTATATGCAACTTGACACATTTACAGCAAACCTATCTTCTACAAAACGTTTTAATTGATGAAAGTTTAAGCAATAATAATGACATCATCTTTACATCCACCTTTGTTTTTTATTAGTTCTTGATGTAAAATCAACCTTGTGTTTTAAGAAAAAAAATACAATTCTTTAATAGCGATGTTCTTTATCAGCCTTCTTAACTTACTGTATTAAACTGATAAACACCCGAGAACTTATTTCGGGGAAATGTTAAGTTTTGGTAGAAATAAATTTTATTTGATAATACTCTATTATTCTTCATTCCTATGAAATGTTTGACTAATTTGTTGTTTATATTTAAGGTGAGACAATTGAGGCTCCTCTTCCACATCGACCCACTTCCCTTTTTTCACCAATCCACACAGTCCAAGTAAGGAATAACTTCTATATGTAAAAGTTCTTTGTTTTCGTGTCCTAAGCATAGTAGTACTTGATGTTAAAATGTCTAAAATCACTTCACTTTGTTTTACTTTTATAAAAATATTATATTTTAAACTTTCTGTAATCTATGTTTCAATAAAGGTGTTATGCTTCTTACCCTAATCTGCACTTTTCAAACCATTGACTTATTTAATATGAAATGTTACCAAATTGGGGATTTTTGCTGTTTACTGATATTAAGTCTGAAAGTATATTTAAAAAAACTATACTGTTATATGTTTAGTTTAACGGTGGGATGAGATATCCATGAGTTGTAAATGAAAAACTTAAAATACTAATGTAAAATAGATAAAGTATGTAGTATACAAAAAAAATAAACCTTCTGTGAATATAAATTTAAGATTGACTTCTTATAGACCCATAGGAAGACCTTAAGTGCCCATGAACGATTGTTTGGAGGGGCATCAAATTCTCCTCTTTCCACGTCTTCCACAGAGCGCAAGTCAAGTAGTTCTCGCCCTCAGATGAGCCCAAAACATCATGTACAAGCACACAGGAAACCCAAAAGGAGACATCATACAATTACAGGTACTGGATCACAACCTCTTATCGACCAGTCATCTCCCAGAATGGTGAGTTAAATGCTATAAGTGTGAAAGATTTGATCGCAAAACATAGTGTAGCTTATAAATGGATCACTGTTTTTGTATAAAAAGTGATCACTTAGAAATGAGATTAATGTAATAACTAAGGTATATTTGATCACTTTATGTAGTATAGGTTATATGTTTGATCACAACCAGTTATTCCTGAGAATGCTGAAATACATGTCATAACTGTGATAGATCTGAACTATAGCAGGTGTGATCAGACTATATATATATTATAAATTATATTTGATCCCAGGTACTGCTTGACTGTGTAGTAGTGACTTCAGAGTTGTAACTGTTTGAGGTGTGTTCACCACACATTACTTGATCTTCAGCTTCATGACTTTCCTTGCTTGACCTTCCTGAGTTTATTGGTCAGTTTTGTTTAAAGAACTGTTGTGTTTTTTAATTGTTGACTCATAATCTTTGTGTGGAAAAAGGTAATTATAAATAACCTAAATAACCAGGCTATTAAGATATGTAACTTTGAAGTAGAGACTCTTTGTTGTGTTAATTAAAAAGAGCTCACACACTATGAAACACAACATCTGTTTGTACAAATCAATATATTGCAGTCACAAAAGAGCAAGCTCATGCGATAAAAGTTTGAATGAACACATAATATCTATGATCATATAAGATTTAATTTTATTTTTTGGAAATTAGTAATTTTAATTCTTACATAATTGCTAGTTGATTGGTACTGGTATGCTTTCATTAAAATGTTTCTTTAATTTGTCTAAATACATTTGCAATTCATTTATATCTTCAATATATTTTTAAATCTGTTTTTAAGTTTGGTCCTTCTTCACGCCATTGCCACATGGACCGTTACTCACGCACAGCAAGTACACCTGATATTGTACGTAGCACGATCAGAAAATCTGAAGTATTTGATGAGAAACTTATTGACAGAGAAGTAAGTTTTATAGTATTTTGTTCTTATGATTGTGAAAATGTGCCTTTTTAAGTAACGTTGCATAGCTTTATTTGTAATTAGATTTTGTACTTTTGAATTATAATAGGTGGTATTGTTAAGAAGTGAGGATTTTTTAATTTGAATAATGAGCATTTCTGTAATCTCTGACATACATTTTTTTGTTATAGTTTAGAAGATTTCAAAGACCATATTACTTGATCTCCTAGGAGAGTGGTTTATTATAATATGCACAACTGAAATACTTTCTCATTAATATAATATGAAAGAAGTTATATATTTTTATCTAAAACATGCTGGGAGTCTCTTGTCATAAATAAATATCTTTTACACATATACAAAATTTATTTTTTTTGTTTATCATAATTACTGATCTCTGCAAAATAGAAGATAGTTATGTTTTCTAGCAAATGAAAATTATAGATAAACAACAATTTAAAGTAAACCTTTCACAACAAGAGAGTGAAAAATATTATTACTCATAATTCCTAGTATATGTAGTCATAATGCTCACAGAACTTGGTTTCAACTAATGAAGTTTATGCATGTGTACAAACCTTGGATTTAACTAGCATTGTCTCTTGATGGTTTTGTGTGACTATATACCTAGGTATATAGTCATAAGATGACAAGTTTAGAACATTTTTATTGGGTTGTAAAGCCTTACACCACAAACTATTCTTAAACAAATTATTGAATTTCATTTTGAGTCTTACCCTTTCATACTTGAGCTTGTATGATACTACAGTATGGGTTATTTTGTGTAATTAGCTCATTTGTGTTGGAGTTGTACGTTTTTGTAGTATGCATGTCGCCTTACGTGATACACAAAAGGCCTCACTAATTTAGGAATTAATCTTCTCAGTCATTTCTTTTACGATGTATTCTTCAAGGTTACCAAAAGGAAATTGTTGATTCTTCTTCATTATTTTTGGTAGAAAAGTTTTGGGAGTAACTGTTCTTCAGATACATGATAAATAACTGTCTTTGCAATTCTTCCCTTTGCCCTCAGGAGCTATGTTTCAAAATTCCTGTAGAGTCCACCAATGTCACGATGGTGTTTGAAAAGATTATTAAGGTTACCAAAAGGAAATTGTTGATTCTTCTTCATTATTTTTGGTTAGAAAAGTTTTGAGAGTAACTGTTCTTCAGATACATGATAAATAACTGTCTTTGCAATTCTTCCCTTTGCCCTCAGGAGCTATGTTTCAAAATTCCTGTAGAGTCCACCAATGTCACGATGGTGTTTGAATAGATTATTAAGATATCTTTATTCCTTTGTGGATAACAAAGTAATAATGATAAAAGAACACAATATCGTGTATAGTAATTAGTGAAAAAACACGTAAACGGAACAAACTGTCAGAAGTCTGATATTAGAGAAACTAGTTTTGTGCATCTTCTTCACTCTCACATTGTCTTCTGGCAGGAAAAAACAAACACCTACGTGACCCCTGATCTTGGGATTCCCTTAAGAACACAGGAGGTCAGGAAGTTGTTAAGTTTAAAGTGATCTTGGGAGGTGTTGAAATTAGGCAGGCTTTTGATTAAGCAACTTTTGAAGATCTATATGGTGAACTAGTTGAGGTATATCTGCATTGTTTGATGAACTAGTAGTGGTATATTAACATTGTTTGTCAAATTAATAGAGGTATACCTACATCTTTTGATGAATTAGTAGAGGTATATCTGCATTCTTTGATGAACTGGTAGTGGTATATTAACATTTTTTGATGAACTAGTAGTGGTATATTATTTTCAGCTGCGAGTTGTATATCAGTATTGTTTGATAACGTGTTAGTGGTATGCTGATGTTTCATGAGGTACTAATATATATCTGCATTATATGGTGAGTAGCATTTCATACCCGTATTTGTTAGTGTTAGGTGAGTTAATAGTGTATATTTTCATTGTTTGGTGAGGTAGAAATGTGTGTCTACAGTATTTGGTGGGCTACCTAGTAGTGATGTATATTTTTATAAAGATTCTATTTAATATTTATTTTATAGTTATCTACATTGTTGTGGAAATAATAATAATTATAAAAAGAAACTGATAAAAGTGCACAAAAGCTGAGAGAAAATTTCAAGAATTTATAAAAGAAATATCTTTGAGCTGTCACAATAGTATGAGCATGAGCAAATATTTTTTTTTTTCTGATAACATAGCCAATTTTACTATTCTTGTACACTATCCTGCTATTAACTATTCAATGTAAATTTATCTGTTTTACAGCTCTGGTTGTGTGTTGAAAGTATAATAAAGCTATGATTAAATCCAAGTTGTGTGGCTTTAGAGTTTGTTATGGTTTTAAAGTTTCTGGTCTTAAATAAATTTTTCCAGCTTGGTCTTCCTCAAAAAATTGACATCCCCGAACGTTACATAGAAGATGAGCCAGAAAAGTTGTCAATTGCAGAAAAACTCAAGAGAGACCTCAAAGCAGAAAATATAAGGAAGATGTTGTCGGAAAGTACAACGTAAGTATTATAAACTTTTAATAAATGTGTCTTTCTTTGAAGTTATGATTTAAGTTTATTAAATGTAAAAGATTTTCTTATCATGGTAAATAGTTTTACGTGTAATTAGTAATTAATTACAAACCGATACTTGAAACTGTCGGTACTTGGTGAAACTCCATAATTACAGAATTGAGGAAAAACAAGACAATTGTATGTTTCACAAATACATCATTTATTATGATCATGATTTTGCCAGTAAAGGCATCATCAGGGACAGACTGAAATGTTTTGTAGCAGGTTTTATATATATGTTTAAACAGAGAACCGGAAGTGACCTTGACATTTGCCGAGAGACAAGTGTGGAAAACCTTAAGTTGGGTTGTTTGTTTAGAACTTTTTCTGGATTTGTTTTTAGACATTATTTATTTCTAAAATTTCCAGACTGTCTAGTTTGTTACCTTTTTGACAAATATACGTAAAATTTTGCAGTTTTTTTTCTGGATCAAATTGGAGTTTAGTTTCAATAATGTGGAATGCAAAGGTTGAATCCATTTTCCTTAATCTCCAGCTTCTAGAGTATGCTTTAATTCTTCTTTCTATGGAACGTCCTGTTTAGCCTATATATATATATACTAAAAGACAGAATCAAAAGTACAGCAACAGTGGTGTTTACCAATAAATGCGAAAGACTGCAATATGTATATATAGGTCAAACAGGAAACTGCTCTGGTGAAGTTTCTCATCAAGTTGGAAAAGTTCCTTATTACCCACATGCAGTATTTTAATCATTTGGGGGTTCTCTTCAATTCCCATTTTAGTTGTGCCCAGTCTTTTCCACTTTGACTCAGGAATATGGAGTGAGCAGTCATGAAGGCCCTACTTTTTCCTTCTCTCACTGCTCGAGAGGTTCTATCTCTTTTGGGGATGTGGGCTACTCTCGAGGTTCTCATATCCTTGGGTCAGGTGTACATGCATTCCATTCAGTGGACACTTCTTGACCAGTGGAACTTTTCCCACAATCCCTTGGACCATCCAATCCCCCCCCCCTGGAATCAGGGCCGGCATTGCTTGGTGGCTTGACAGGGAATTGACCATTCCCTTGCCTCGTTCTAAGTCTCATGTGTCCACTGATGCTTCCTTGGTGGGTTGGGGGACTTTCCTCAATTTCTGAGAGATTTCTGGTCAGTAGTCAGTTGAGGAGGCTTACTCTACATATCAACATTCTAGAACTTTTAGCTGTTCTTTGAGCTTAATATAATTTCTCCTGCTCCTGCAGGGACAGGTGGTTGTGATTCATTCCGACAATTTCTCTTCATCAGCTATATGACCAAATTTTTGTGTTTACGGACTCTCAATCTTCTGTACTGGGCCGACAACCAGAACATGACAATCCTGGCATGTCAGGTTCCCAGAATATGAATTTGGTGGTCGATTGCTTATCTAATCCCAACCAGGTTCTCTTCACGGAATGGTACCTTCGGTAGGCATGTTCTCAACTGGGAACGTCACACATATATACATCTTTTCCACTCATTGGAATGCCAAACTTGCTTCCTTTTGGTCCCCAGTTCCACACTACTCAGCTTTGGGGGTGGATACATTCAGTCAAGATTGCAGAAGTCTTCACCTATATGTCTACCCCTCAATCAAATTACTCTCCAGAGTCATTTCCCTTATCCAGACCACTCCTTGTCGTGTTCTGCTAGTTGCTCTATACTGGCCAGCTCAGAATTGGTTCCCTCTGCTCTGGCCCTTATTAAAGCAATAGCTTCTGCCCTTACCTCTGTTCTGATCACTTCTCCTCTAACTAAGAACAAATGTAGTTCTAACCAACATCACCAAACTCCATCTTGAAGCATGACTTTTGTCCAGTCCCTTGCCTCAGTTCAGGGACTCATCCCTTGTGTTGCATCTTTCCTTGCCCATCCCATTTGACCTTCCCCCCTTGTCTGTGTACCAGAGACATTGGTCTACCTTCAAACTTTGGTCCATTCACAGATAGGGCTTCCACCCATCCTGTTCTTCTGTTCCTCATCTGTCCCAGTTCTTCACCTGGTTGTTTTATCCGGATTTATCCATGTCAACTGATGCTAGTTATAGGGCTGTCATCTTTCTCCTGTAGAGATTCTACATGTCTGTATGCCTTTGACTGGGGTAAGTCAACATATTATTAATTTTTTCTACTTCATTTGAAATACATCATATTTCAGGATCCGACCAAGTGGCAGGTGATGCCTAGTCAGGTATGCTTAATATTATATTAGCACTAAATATAGGTACTTCTATAATGCTCACTGTTGAGATGGAGTGTTTCAGTAAGACCACTGGCAGCTTGTACGGTAGCATGCGTATATATATATATATCTTTTTTTTTTATCAATCTTCATTGCTTCCTATAAATAAAGAGCCATCACTCATGGACTTCATGAGTAAAGCAGATGGAAATTTCTGCCTATCTCTTCTGACCCATGATTTCTAGAGTTGGGGACTTTCTTCTTTTCAAAATAGGGACTTGTAGACTCACATTGTACTGTCTTGGACATATTGTTCCTCCAGACTCCCAAACACGTATTCCCACTCTCCTGTACTGGAGTATGAGAGTCCTTGCCACTTCCGGTTCCCAATTGCTGGAATGATGGACTGAGGAGGTTTCCTCCTGAGTGGGTTTTGTACAACAAACAAAATTGAAGTTGATAGATCATCTGTACCCACTTGTCAAGAAGAGGGATATAGTTGTTATACTCATTGCTATACTAAGCAATGATTATACAATAACATAATATTCAGCATCCAAGGCACTTCCCCCGGATGTTTTTTGTCTTGGTGGACTGCACTGGCCTAATCCTGTGTATCCAAGGCACTTCCCCCTGGGTATTGCCTGGGCAGACTGCACTTGTTGATCTCTATATCTTATGCAAGGTGCTTCCACTGGATATTTTGTTCCCAGTTTGCCACACTTGGCCATAATATTATATATCCAAAGCACTTCCCCTGAATGTTTTTTTTTTGCTCAGGCAGACTGTACTTGTTAATCTCACAAGCTTATGGAAGGTGCTTCCACTGGTTGTTTTACTCAAATGGACCACACATGACATAATCTGACATATCCCAAGGCACTTCCCCTAATGATTTTTGTCAGAGTGGACCGCACTTGGCCTATTCATATATGATTTACAGTCCATTAGCCCTAGCCACATCTAAGTATTTCGTTTTTCTGTGGCACGATACTATGGTTCACTATCACTATGTTCAGTACTACGGCTTGCTACATATGTGGACAAAGTATGACATGTATGTTGACAATGGTCTGGTTCTGAAAACCCTACAATCACACTCATTCCTGTACTTTTTTTTTCTCATAATCCTATGTATCCAAGGTGCTTCTCCTGGATTTTTTTTTTACAGAGAGGACCGCACTTGTTAATCACAACATCTTAAACAAAGCATTTCCACTGGATGTTTTGCCTGGATGGACCGCATTTGACATACTCCGATGTACTACCCTTGGCACATACTTAATCGGGCCTGTTTTCACTTACACACTAGACCTTCCATGTTTGTCCATGCCATGCTGTTTCAAATCACAGTTATACAGCACTTCTCCATTGACTTCCTGATTGTTGGTGCCTGACTATTCTGTTCCACCCTCTCTGTATTACTGTGTTAATTACTGGACAAAGAGCATACCTCTTCCAGAAGTAGTGCTATACCCCAATAGTGTGCTTTCTTTTCATATTATTGCACACCTGTTCTTTCAGTGTGGTTGCCTTCTGCTTGATTGAATATTGACGCGCCTTCGCCAAGATTTTAGCCTTGGGTGTGTGGAGGTAAGACCATTTTGGAAGTTCAGATTTTCTAACACTATTTCCGATAGATACTTACCTCCTCTCACCCCACTTCCCACTCCTCCTCCCCACTGATATGCCATTGTTTCTGGTTTATACCTGCCAATTTTTGAAAGTCAGGATTGTTCTTGAATAGTATAGGGAGCTAGCTGTACTAGTATAGATGGCACAGTATGATTGGTGGAGGGCAGTCACATGATCAGCACATGTTCTGAAATGGTGTGAAACTCATGGGATATAAAAGATTGGTCCATTGTTAATGAAAAAATTTTTAGCAATGCTTAGAGGGCAAACCAAGATCAAGAGTTTGGGTTAGAGGAGGTAATTACCTATCGAAAATACATTTTAAGTGTAAGAAAATCTTAACTTTGCTTGCGTAAGTTATTCTACTGGTATCTAAACTTGTATTTGCATATTAATGTTGATATTTCCTTAAAAGTCATGATATAATGAATATTTTTTTCATGTCATTTTAGAGGTAAAATGTTTCAATAAGAGTTATGTTGAAAAATAACTATTAATTATCGTATAAATCTTTCTCTTTGAATTTCTTTACAGATTTGAAAAAGCATCTATATCAGAAACAATGAAGAAGAAAATGGATGAAGAAAAGAAAAGGAGGGCCCATCTATTAGCCCTTAATCATACTATAGCTAAAGAAGTGATGGAGAAGAGCAAAATTGTAGCAAGTAAGACACTAACAATTAACAACATGTATAAGAAGCTAAGTAGTAGGATACATTAGAGTATTGTTAGGAAAGTCAGCCAACTGATATAGCAAATCATGAAAACACTTTAACTGTAAAATCCATTATATAAATATTTATATATCACAAAAACAAAAATTTAGTAGCAGAATGTTTTAATAGTATACAAAAATCTAATTGATTAGTAATGTCTAGGTCGATGATTTTCGTGCGTTGTAAATGCACATCAAACTGACAAATAATTCCACTTTTTTTTTTTTTTGAGAAATATCATTGTCTCTGTAAGTTTTCTATTATGTAAAATAAACTTATCTGTTTGTCTGTCTATCTGATTTAAGGCAGAATGTATGTTAACTGCAATTCCAGCTCACTTCTTTAGTGCTTGCTGGAACCTTCGTTCCCTACTATTTTATTTTTCTGTCTTGTCAAACTTTTTGCCCATAATATGTTAATATATTGCTGGTAATTGAAGGTTTGATTGAATTCGTACCAAATGTGTAAATAAAAACTTTAATATTTCAAGTTGTTTCAGCCAGACTTTCATCACCAGGCATAATATACCTTAACAATAAATAAATCTCACTTTTGAAACAAAGTATTAATACAAAGACACTCTCATGTATCTTCTTCAGTCCTACTCAGTCTTCAGAAGACTGTGTAAAACTGAAGAGGAGATATGAAAGTGTGGAAACTAGTTTCAGTCGTTGTATTAATAGTTTGTTCTAAAAGTGTGGTTTCTTGTTTTCATTTATTGAGTTAACATACACAATACTGTTTATCTTACACTAGTATATATATGTTGAGAAGCTAGGCTATAAAGTAAGCAAAATCAGGATGAGAACTAATACGTCTCATGGTATAAACTACAACAGAAAGAAGGTTGACTTCTTCTAAGTGGAGGTTGGATTTAATATGATCATTATTCAATGAAGAAATGTTGTTGAGATGTATTGCTTTTAAGGAACATCTTAGAAAACTTAAACAGATATGTGTTGTTTTTTTTTATATCACAATCAAAGGGTTCTGCATGGCCAGGTGGTTAGGGTGGTCGACTCGCAATCTGTGGGTCGTGAGTTCGAATCCCCATCTCACCAATCATGCTCTCCCTTTCATAATAATATGATTATAATGTGACGGTCAATCCCACTATTCATTGGTAAAAGAGTAGCCCAAGAGTTGGCGGTGGGTGGGGATGACTAGCTGCCTTCCCTCTAGTCTTACACTGCTAAATTAGGGATGGCTAGCACAGATAGCCCTTGTGTAGCTTTGCATGAAATTCATAAAAAACAAACAAACACTTATTATCAAACATTATGTGTATGTTCAATGATATACGTGTGCAGAGAAAAGGTTCAAGTAGTTTTATAAATATTAACAAAATAGTTTACTAGATTACCTGAAAGATTTAATAGATTTCTTTGTGGAAACATTTAGACCTGCTAGTGTATGTGTACATAAGACCTGAAGTCTTTTATTCCAAGATATCAAAACACTGTTTCCTAATCAACTCTTTTAAAGGTTGATGAAATCTGATAGAAACCTGAATTTTCTTTTAAACAACATCCCAAAAGTGTTTAGCATCTATAACACAGGCCTGTGAATTTAAACTTCATAAAAGTTATTTTGGTTTTAATAATGGATTTTCCGTAATTCAGTTACACAGATTTTGAATATAATATTAACTTTTTTCTATCACGTTAGAATTTTTTTACAAATCAGGGAAAAAAAAACTCTCACTTAGATCAAATTATTATTTCGTTTACTACAATGAACATTTGTTATTCTTATGTTTGTTAACAAAAATACAAACAAA